TGGAATAATCAGGACCACAGTTAAAACCCACAGCATTTTTTCCTCAAAGGAGAAAATCTTATGTCCAGCATCTGTGCCTTCCTTAGCTTGTGTAGTTACTGTTCATCGCATTTACTGATCGTTCCTGCTGCACTGACTCTTTGTTACTCTTGACGAAAAACTGGGTGCTGCAAACAAAAGCTGTTAAATAAGTACTATATTTCTGCTCAGAAGTGGTTGCATTTTAGTTGTAAGATGAACAACTGTGTTTCTGAAGTGCTCTGAAATTTTTCAGGATTAAACTACTAAGGTTATTGTTATTCTTTTTGTTTCACAGCTAGAAAGAGTGCTGTGTTTAAATCCAGAAGTGGCAAAAAACCCTCCATTTCACTAGGCAGAAGGAAATGGCCAGAGAAAAGCCTGTTTTATGAGTTTGCTTGTCACAACAGATTTTCCTGCAGAGAGAGATTAATGTTTGAAACGTGAACTTATAAGCAGCCTCAGCATGAATCCCAGTAGAGTTAAATTTCAAAACACATTACATGTCCTCCTTTCTATTAGAGCCAACAAAATACATTCTTTACCAGTGGGAATTGAAAACCCATCTGAGAAAAAGCAAACAACATTAAATTTTCCCAAAGGAAAAATTGGAAGTTTTTGCTGAGAGGGCGAGACAGAATAAAATAAAGAAACACTTTGCACCAAGTGACTTTGGAGACAACCATTTTATATTTTGCAGAGACAACTGAATTTTAACTGGCTTGGTGTGAACAGCATACAGAAAGAATATGCTCACTCTGAACTCCATTAGATAGAAGTTATGTGAAAATAATTACATGGGAGGAAGAACCTGGATTTAAAGGACAAGGGAATGGAATGATTGCTTTGAGAACGGACACGGACTTACCAAGTTTTAAAAACAAAACCACCAACACACAACAGGCATGCAGGTATAAGTGGCTATGTGAAAAGTCACACAGAATAAAAAATTATATTGAAAATTCTATTGGAAAAAAGTGAATTACCATCACTGGGGGCAGCATAAACTGGTGGTTTGCATTCAACACCTGGCTCCACTGACTGAGATTTTATTTTTCTTTTAAATAGTCAATCTCAGTGTCTCTGGCTGCCTCCTGATATCCTTTGTCTTAACATGAACAGAACAGACAGGGTTCCCTTCTACACATCTGTGCAGTGCACAAGCAGGAGGTGTTACCTTAATGTGAGTACAATCACCAAAAAGCTCTCATGACTATTCTAGGATGGAAAGCTCTGGGCAACCCTCAAGGAGCCAAGCCAATCTAAATCCTCTAAAAGAGCATTTGCGAGGATTTGGAGAAGAAAAAAAAAAAAAAAAATCAAAGACAAAACAAAGATGTAGATGACAAAGAAGGTGCAAATAACAATTTCAAGCATTATTCAAGTAATTTAAAAGCTAGAGTCCAATTAAAAACGTTTTAGAGACTTTAAAAACAAATTAGCCTCAGATTTTTTAATTATATACCACTTGTTCTCCTTGGCTCAAGCTGGTTTGGATCATGAAAATCCATTTCACATTCAATCTCATACATTAGCACAAGATTGCAACGTTCGGAGCTGGAAAACATTTCTCAAATTTATTTATATATTTAAACATTAACCCAGGAGAGCAAGTGCACACACTTCTAAATCAAACCTTATGCTATGCTGGCCCAAAGGTCCTGGTTCAAGCTAAAATTTCTAGATGAAGTGGCAGGTTCATGGCTGCATTGAGCCGCAGCATTTCGCGGTAGGTAACGCCTGCTCGGTGCCCTGCAGCCAGGTGCTGGCAGGGTCATTCCAGGACACGGCCCTACAATTTTGCATACAGACTGTTCTTTACAAGGCCATCCCTACTTTATCACTTCCAGCCAACCTACACAGACTGAAACATCTGGTATTTTCTGGTTTCAACACTAACAAATATTAGGACACCAGATTCAGGCTCAGGAACCTTGGCCATAGCAACAGCTTTTCATTTCAGCTTTAACGAATCCTGCTCTCTAGCTACTTCTAATTTCCCCAGCTGTGAACTGGGGGAAGGGAAGGAACAAGACAATAGTTAGCTCTTTAAAAATACTTTTTATTGCTGCGGTGGATACGCATTACATCTTCACTTAGCTTCTGTGTAAGAGCAGGCTGCTACACACAGCTGTTACACAGTCAGTGCCAGAAAAACGCAAAATCTGGTACTGGGGTGTTCCAGGGAAAGGTGGCCGCTCGCTAAACTGGCAGTTTCACCTGGAACGTGCTCACCAAGGCGCTCTTAGACCACGCTTACACCACACCAGGCACCTCCTCCCAGAGCACCCCAGCAGGGTCCCCGAAAAGCGTCCCGCTGGAGCGGTCTCAGCCCGAACCCCGCTCTGCGGTAAGAGTGCGAAGCACAGCATCGCTCTTTGCCAGGACTGAGGCACTACCAGTCCAAACGTGAGGATGAGCAAATGCCACCGTCCCCATTCAGGTCAAGAGTTTATCCACCCGCAGATCTCAGCTTGCCCCGGTAGGTAGAGGTCACGCAGCTGTTTGTGAGAACCACCCAAATTAACCCAGCCCTCCTCGCCCCCTTTCTCCGAACAATCCCTAGAGCCCGGGTATTAACAGCACAGGAGCAGACGCTTCTGCCAGGGCTCTGGCATTTGGGAGCCTTCAGTTCATCCAAGGGTATCTTAGGACGAGCCTTCTTCCACTGATTTTCCTCCTTTCTCTTCTAAAACTCACTGCTACGGAAAAGTTAGGAAAGAACTAGTAATAAGGGAAACCTAACCCAGGGAAAGGCAGCCAGGGCCATCAGCTCATTACAGACACCTGCCTCAGATGAACAGGACCGGCACCTGCTGCAGGGGTTGGCAAGAGCCCCCAGAAACGCAGCTCTTCTCCCCAGGGTCACTTCGGAAAAAACCCTGCAAAACCACCGACGCGTTGCTAGAGCAGCATTACCGCGTCACCCTCACCAGCCTCGTTCAATAGCGCCTTTATTTATTTACCGATTTATGTATTTTCCAAACACGGGATGGTCGCGTATTGCGCCGTAACAGCACAGACATGGTTAAACAGTTGTAGCCAAAAAAAAATCCCTCCGCTTCCCATTCATCGCCTCCTGAGGGAAAACTGGGTTTTCATTCAACCCGGCCAAAGCTTTATGTTATTTACTCCGGGCAAACTCCTAGCTACCGGCCCTGCCACGAGAGATTAAACAAACCCACCAGGCGGAAGGTCCAACCTCCCGTCACCGGCCGGACCCCGCCGCGGGGGGCCCGGCCCGCGGCCGCGCACCCCGCCCGGGGCAGGAGCCCGGCCCCCCCGGGGCCTCCGCGCCCCGCTCCTCCCGCCTCACCTCCTTCTTCACGTTCCACAGCAGCTTCTCCTTGGCGGCGTCCGCCGAGCAGCTCATGGCGGAGCGGGCCGCGGGGGGCCGCGCTCAGCGCCGCCCGCCCGCCCCGCTGAGGGAAGGCTCCGCGCCGCCCGGCCGAGCGCGTCCAGGCTGCGGAGACCCCCGCAGCTCCGCGGCCATCTTCCGCGGCCGCCGCTGACGTCAGGCCGGGGGCGGGGCCGCACCTGCCGCCACCGCCCCGGCTGAGGGAAGCGGCGGGGGGGGGGGCGGCTCCATGGCAACGGCGGCGGGGGCGGGGCCAGGCCCTGAGGGAGCGCGCGGCGCGGCAGCCCCGTTCCCGCCGTTCCGAACCGCCCTGGGCGCGCATCAGGTTAGGAACAGAGCTTAAATTTAACCTTTTTTTTTTTTTTTTTTCCCCCCTCCTGGTGCTTGTTTCTGTAATTTCCAGATGAGCGAACGGCACGCTCGGTTCGCTTCCTGATCTTGGAGGCAGGACAGCACTTTGCTGGCTTCCCCAGGAAGCATTCAAGCTCTTCCTCCCAGAGCAAATACAGGTGTAGGCAGTCTGATCCCTTCAGCCGAGGTATAATAATAAACCAGAGCTCACCCTCAGCGCATCCTCCAGCTACTGCTGGAAACCCTACAGCAGGTGTAGCTGCAAGAGACACCCCAGGAAAGCCGGGCGCAGGGAGAGCTCCCACAGGAGCAGTGCGGAAAAAAGAAGACATGGCAGGCAGGAGCTGGACAGGACTGACCTCCGTTAGTGCAGGCAGAAAAGGGAAAAAGAAGAGTTGTTCCATGTTTGAAAGAGGCAGCAGATAGAGGAGACTGAATCGCATCACCCAGTCACAAGAATCAAGAGTCCTACCACGCTGACTAGAAGCAGGCTGTTTCTACAAGCTTTCGTATAACATAAAAGTCAGGCTTGCGGTAATCTCCAAAACTGTGGGGAAGGCTAGCAGTATGCACTAGAAACCACAGTCCCATCAGAGAGGCTTCTCACCTTTCTGAACAGAAGGATTACCCAAATTCTTTCAAAGACACTCAGATGCTTTGTGGAATAGTTTTTCCGGTTGCTGCTAACAACAAAAAAAAAACCCTACGGCTTAGCTCAGAAAGCAGGGTAACAGCAGCAGAGAGAACAGCTGAATAGAGTAGGCAGATTATGCTGGCTACCTCAAAAGCACACCTACTGCAGAACAGACTAAATCTCTGGATCTAATTCCCTGCTAAGATGCTCTGTCAGTCAAGAAAGGTGAAAGATTTTAAAAATACAAGTTAGGTTACCTTTGTGGTAATACAAATTGTGTGTAGGCTTAATGAAAGTTCAAAAATGCTCTGTGATTCTTATTAGGAAATTAAGTTATTTCCATGAATGTGAAAAACCACTGCTGTCAAAGAATTGTTCTACAATTAAAGGAAAAGCCCAGAGAAAAATCAAAACCTGTTGTCTGCAGAGAGGACCTGTAAGTACAGTGATACCTCCTACAAATAGAGTGCACTTGCAGGGCATGAGAGAAAGGTAGCAACAACTCCATATAATACAAAAGCCATTTGCTGATACACTATGTCTGTGGTTCCAGAATCCTACATACTTGGTGAGGATCACAACTGCAAAACAGAAGTGCAGAGACAAACATAATGAATGAAAGGTTATGCTGGAGAAAAATCACAGAAGACAAAATATAACACTTTATTAAAAATTAGTGTTCAACTTCCATTTAATGCACTGATAAAAGAGAAAACACTTTAATCAATAGCTAATATTGTTACTGCATTAACTAAGTATTTTATCCATAAGGCTGACCCCTAAAAATTAAACACAAAACAAAGCCTGTTGCTATAAGAAAACAGCTTGATCACAGAATGTCAGTTTAAACAAGATCAGCAGCCATATTTGCTATCCTCTGGATACAAAATATTATAGAAATCCAAAGTCTTTTACTACTATTAAACAAGTTAAGCTTCAACATCCCTCTGAGGTAGGGAAGGGTCTTCCCACCATTATTACAGATGAGGAAAAATTGCGCACACACAGAAAAACTGATTTGCTGTATGTCACTGAGTTGAGTTAGTGGCAAACCTGGAAATAGGACTCATGCCCACTCATCTCTTAATAAAACCTCAGCTCTCCTAACAGAATGGATGCTGTGAAATTTGTCTGTAAAGATTTAATGCCAAGGATTGTCAGAGGATATGATCTAATTGTGTAAGACAGGGACTGCTGGGTCAGATGCATTTAGTTAAGGTATACTTCATCACTATTTCCAAGAGTGAATTATGTCGGAAAAATAAAAAAACCTCAAGGAAAAAAAAAAAAATCTAATCAAGACCACAATAAGCATTGCCTGTTCCAAGCAGAATGCAGCTTTTCACTAACACCACAGTATCGGTCCCCCCAAAGCCCTCCCAGTCTCAGTCAGTTGTTTTATATGTTAACTAAGTAGTGCAAGAGAGAAAAAGTCAGCAGAATGGAACATTACCATAGGATAAATGTCTCCTGTTCCAAAAACTAAATGTCAAGGTGAAGGTTAAACATTTAGTTTTGTCTCGGCATTTATCAAGCAGTTGGAGGCAGCTACCCTGCAGAACTCTCTCTTTTGACATTATTGCCCAATTAACACTGATACTGAAAAGCTGTTTAACATAAGACATTCATTCAAGGCACCAAGGCTCCTCTGCAGAAAGACTGAGGCTGTTTTGCAATATGCTAGGACCCCATTACAGAAACATGCGACCCTTTATTACAGTACTTGTGCATAGATGTCAGTTAATGTTTTCCATTCATTCTCTCAGTCTGCTAATATAATACTGGAATGCGCAAAAGTTCCTATAAATTTAGGAGCGAAAAGAACTGCTAGTCAAACCCAACCACGCATATTTAACGGAGATATCTCAGCCACGTCCTGAAAATCTTACCAGGACAAAGAACACCAAGACCATGGCTTTGAAACGTCTTTTGACATAGAACTTCAGTGTATGCAATTAGATTATTACTCTGAGTAAAGCTTACAGACTGTCCACAGTGGCCAAACATTGTTTAACATCATTCCAGTTCTAGTCATAATTTAATCTGAAAGCAGATATTTTGTGATCAGTACTAACTGGGGGTAGAGAAGGGAGAATGAATGAGAATCAAGAGAAAGTGGTGAAATGAAAAGGATATCTGTACATACTTAAAGAACATTCGTAACTGCTTACAGTTCTTACTGATATTCCACATTCCACAAATACCAAGTTATTTTGCACTTTTGAAAAGATCGTCACAACCCAGATGGTTCTCAAAACAGTTTGTTTCCAAGATTAATCTAAACTCAAATCAGAAATTAATACTACTTGTTGGCTATGGGAGGCAGGGAAAACCAACTAAAACAAAAACCAAGCTTATCTCTGCTCCTTATAGTGTAATAATTCACTATTTGAATCCATTTCATTAATGAATCCTGGGAGTACAGAAGCCAACCATGGAGTGAAAGCCTCTGGACTAGCACATGGATCTGACACTCATTCTCTTTCACACACTCCTTCCCATACCCCTGAGAAAAGAAATGCAAAAATGTCATTTTTCTGCTTATAACTTCTTTTAAACACAATTTTCCAAGGCTACCAGCATCACTTACTTTATTTGTTAACATCCACTATGATAGTTACAAGAAAAAATTAATATAAATCATTTGCCAAGAAAAAGAAGTGCCACGCATGAATTTTAAATGGCAGTCTTATTTGTTACAAGCTGAAAAAAAACATACAAGAGAATAAATTGAAGCTATCACAGCACAAGATACCACTACAGGCTCCGCTGGTAGCTTCAAAGCACCCACCACAGTGTAATTTAAATAGTATCAGTGGAGGGAAAAAAATAGAAAAAAAAAAAAATCCACATCACACTAGCAGAATTAAGGAAAAAAAAATAACACAAAAGTCTTTGTCAAAACCAATCTCAGCAGCTGTATTTTCACTGGCACAACAGAAAAACCAGCTGGAAAACAACATACAGAAAGCAATATAAAAAGAAAAGGTTATTAGAGTTTTAAAGAGGCCTTTCACAAAAAGGCAGGTGCAATACTGTGGCAATGCTACTTCCTGAACGTGAGGAGAATTAAATGAATGCCCGCCACACAGAGAGGACCAGCTAGGCAATAAAATCCTGAAAGTCTACAGCCACTAGTGTTTCCTTACCAAGCCTCAACAACTTTATTTTCAAAAACCTAAATGAGTGGAAATACTTTTTTGCTCCCTCCTCTGCTTCTATTACTACCAAACCAACTACCATCTTATCTCTACTTATGAAATCATTGTATTAATTTGGGATTATTTTCTGCCAGGCTTTTGCAGTAATTTGCTTTAGAACTTATAGGTAGATTTGGCACTGGTCAAAGCAGTTCAAGACTAACTGTTGTGGAATCCAAAGCTCCCATGTTCACGTACAATATGGAAACGCAAAAGCAGTTGTGGAGCACGCTTCACCAGTGTCACGCAGCCATAGCTGCCCGTGAGTGGCCACCAAGTAAGAACCATTTAGGACAGGGGCAAAATTCGAATCTGCAACCTCCAGCTGCAACGTACAAGCCAACATTTAAAAAGACGGTAACAACTTTTCATACTAAACTTGAAATTGGTTCCAGACACCCAATTTGCAGAGCAGCCTTGTCTCCAACCTTCTGAAAGACCCTTTACAATTAGCTCCAAGCCAAGCCCTCAGAATAGAAGTGATTATTTCAGCTTAAAATTCAGTATAAGCTACCTCTCTTGCTGGTGTCCAAAGCCTCTTACAGTTTCATGGTGGATCAAGGTTTTTATGACTATTCTCTTTCCACTTCAACTTCTGTGCTCCAAAAGGGATTCAGAACACAAAACTTGAATTCACCCTTCAGTATGTGAACGTGACCTAGCCTTATAAAATGTTGTTTAGTCTGTATTTTCCCAGCCACTGCAATTTTTCCCCTGCTGCCTGAGAAATTTAACATCTAATAGCACTTCTGGGCCACAGGAAGAAACAAGTGTAAAACTAATCCCCCAGATTGCCATTGTTTATATAAGCAGAATTACACTATCACAAGCCTAAACAATGGCAACTTTGCCACAATGTATTCCTGACATTTGCTTACTTGAAGAAGTCTCTTCCTTCACCATAACCTTTTCTCCATCTCCCAAGACAAGTCATTACATAGATATTTAAATTTTCAAAGTTTTCTCATTTTTCACAAGGGAAGATTTTTTCTGTGACTTGACTCTCACCTCTTTGGAAGACCCAGCCTTAGGATTAATGACTTTTAAAGACAGCTACCTTGGAGCACAAACCTTTGTATGTGTACTGGGGGAAAAGAGGTGTGACAAGGCACACATGCAGTGCACGACTACTGGCTAGCTAACCATTTCTTCTGGGGGTTATGAGATACAGTGTTTGCTAAGAGTAGTCACGTTCAAGTTCTCTCCATCCCCTCTTCGGTATCTTGACTTAAGAACTGGAAGTTCCATTATACAAAACCCTAAAAGAACAGGTATATGGAAAAAGATTTGAGTCACACCATCTCATTCAGCAAAAGCAGCACTTCTCACAGGAAGTAAGAGAACTGGCAAGTCATTAGCTACGAAAGAGCAACCACAAACTGTCAGAATCGGTGTTCCAAATTCCATTCCTCATGTGGCATGAAGAGGGGGCCAGTCTGTATTTAAAGCACGTGGTGCAAAATTACCCTCTTAGTTCTCAAAGCCCTTGGCCTTTAGTGTTGCTTTGTGCACACAAATGCCCATTTGCTTCTCTAAGGAGCCAAGAAGCCAAATGAAGATCAATCCACAGAGTCCAGCTGATCCCTCCCCACCTCCTGATCCCCCTCAAAGAATTATTGATGCAAGCCTTGACACCAAACCCTTTCTCCTCGACTGATACGCTAGTGGCCAAGCTGACGGTCATCGTAGGTGCTGTATCTCTTCACATGGATTCGGCGCACTCGGTCACGAAGTTCAAAACCCTCGTCATCCTCACTGTGAGATGCCTGGCTTCGGCTCCTGCTTGTTGCTTCCAGCAGGGAGTTATCAGGAACCCGTGGTGTTTCATATAGCAGGACATTTAGTGTTTCCTCATAAATTCGTGCCTCTGGGAATTCAACCTACAAAAAACAGCACGTGTCCTTTTCCTGACCCAGACAGGATAGCAGGACTGAACACATACCAGTAAGTAAAAAGACACGCGAGGCATAAAAAGACACACACTATAAGGAGGGTAAACCAGTTGTAAATGAGAAAGATGAGCAAAGCAGTCTAATTCCTAGTAGAGGATTCCTCCCACCACCAGGTCACCTACCTCAACTCTTCTTTTAGGTGGTTCTAGAACGGAATACAGTATTTCTGATTCTTAAGTGCTATTGTTGGACCCTGGTCACCTTACCTGCACCACTGCAAGTCAGAAGTTAACTCATGAAGTTAGGGAAACTCTGTATATTTATCATGCTAATCATTACCATATTTTTATGCATGTAATTTGTCTCTTTAGGATGTACTGTGCTTGAAAGCAAGTCTTTAGGTAATGATTGCAAAATCAGAGGTGGGAAGACTATAAGAAGAATCTCCAGAAATGAGGGGAACTCAAGATACATTGATTATTGGGAATCTGCACTCCCGCTGAATTTTTTTTTAAACAGACATTCTATAGTTTTGCACATAAAAGCACAATGAGAATAAAAATATCGTGTTTCTAAACACTGTCTGAGCTCAAGTTTCCATTTTATTAATTTAATCCATCCATTTCAGTTATTCTGGTGGGGACAAATCAGTTTCAGTCTTCTCCTTTTTGGCATATATTTTCCAACACTCTGGAGATACTTATAGTCCCACACACAACCACTTAGTTCAATTACATGCAGTGATTACATCAGTGCAAGTGAAACACAGTACAAAGTAACTGCAATGAAGTAAACTTATGTAGGTATAATTAAGAGCAGAATTAGATCTTTACTCCATTTAATTAGAGAAATTTAAAGGCATTTACATGCTTTAGAGACACAAAGTCCATCAGCTTTAAGAGACTAGTGCTAACATGCACGTGCTTTCAGAATTACCAGTCTTCCCTTCCGCAAACTTGCTACCATATTTAGACTTCTCTGAATTCACAGAATTATGCAACAGCTCCTACTGAGACACCAGCTCACCCAGCAGCCCCCTCAGCAGCGAGCCATCCTAGTCATTTCCATGTCACTGACCAGCACTTTCAGTCGATATTCAGGAGAGTTGGTATCAAAGCTTTCCCAATAAGTGATATCGCTTGCCCTTAGCAATTGGGCTTAAGTTATACAAAGTCTGTATCTTTCTGCAACGTATCATCAACCTGATTTTTTTTAAACCGTAAGAGACAGGTGGGTAAAACTTCATTACCTTGGTTTGCTTCTTCTCTGTAGCGTACACTATAGAGGTACAACAGACTTCAGCAAGTTTCCGACCCTGCCCATAGAAAGACCAGCAGCAGATTTCGTCCCCTATAACATCCTTAATGAAAAGAACTCTGCCGTTGAATCGGAGAGAGAGTTTGTCAAACAGTTCTATGTTCTTCAGTAAGTTGTCATCTGAGTTACTGAAACACAGCAACAAAAGAAGGAATACGTTTTTTGTGGGTTTTCAGCTGGCCATCTCTACAGGATTTGCACGCCTATGCCACCACAGTTTTAAGCATTGATCTAACTGCAGAATACAAATAAGTAGTGACTCATCGCCATATGCTGCCAAGAAAAGAGAGGGTAATAGCCAATTTCAGATACAAATAAGATGCTGTGATCCTCATGAGCAAACACACCAGCCTTTAGAGGTCAAGTTATATAATTAATAACGACAGCACAATTTCCCAAATCATTACATCAACTACAACTATCTCTTGACTGACGCTCAAGATGATTAAATCACATGCTAACTGCAGTTCTCTTTAGCTTAGGAACAGCAAACGTCCAAAGAGTCAATGCATGTTTGAAGGCCAGCTAAAAAGCAAGGTGCTCTGCGCATAGCACTACTGATACCATACACAAATTTCTAGGGTGAATGTATTCTTAAGAAAGTAAGTTTTATTGACAGCCAAGGCAACATAGGATTTTAGTTACTTTTCAAAGATCTAGATGTTCTAGAGAAAAAAAAAATACACATTGTATTATAGCTTCAAAATCAAGTAAAGCTATTCTTAACATTTAAAATATTTTATTTAAACAACACCACAGCCAATCAATGTCCAATTTGATTAAATAAAAAAAAAAATCTAAAAGCTTTACTCCTCTGACATTAGCTTGAATGTAGCTGCATAGAAAAGAAGTACTCTGTGACCCTTTGTCTCTTTTTATAGGTGGCTGGGAAATTATGTGTGGATACATGGAAATCAGTGAACATACTGCGTAGACGACAAAGCCAACCTTGCTAGCTCTAACAGTAAAATTCCTTACTCTATGGACCCTGAAGCTCAAAGTTCACACCTTGCTGCCAAGAATCTACCCAGAAACATGACACTGTACTTTTGTATGCAGTATCTTAACTTTTGCAAATGGTCCAGGAAGGCTGTGAGATACTTGTGAACTGACACTGCTAAGAAGAACAGCCGACAGGGCTTTACATAAACTACTTAGTCTGAGAAGTATTTCTGCTCAAAACTTATCAAAAAAGCATGATGTACAACCAGAGAAAATCTTCAGCTCACAAAAATCATTTGATAAAGCAATCTGGGATTCAGCCAGTGACAAGTCCCAGCCTCTGTCAAGTGGCAGAGCTGGGAAAAAAACGTGGAAGTCTTCATCCATTTATGTTAGTAGACCACACTGACAACGTAACTGAGAAAGCTCCTTTTACACTGTTGAATAGGAAGAACAGAAGGAAAAAAATCTTTACCTGCTAGCAGCCAATATGGAATTTTGAATAAAGATGCCTCATTTAAACACCATCGAGGCATGCAGATTCATGTGCAAGGAATAATTAGAACTCTGCAGCTAGCTGAGATACCAGCACCTCCTGGTATCTAGGATTCTGTTGCTCTCATTACTAGTACGTTTACATTTCCAGAGCCATGGTGACTAATGTGCTATCCTGTGCTTGCTTTAGCATCACTGCCGTAAGCTAAAGGGTAACACAGGGAGGAGTCCAATACGACTGGCAGATACAGAATGCAGTCTGCTGAAAAACAGGCTGCTCTTCAGCACTCCCACAGGTAGCATTTCCTGACTACCTGGAATATCACGACTGCTAGAATCCATCTCAGACAGACAGACAATCAGTTTGACTAGAGAAAAAAAGCTTCCAAGATTGCACCTCAGACTGAAAAGGCCAAAAATGGGGAGTCTGCATAGCATAAAGGATTACCCACATCGCTTCAATGACTGGTTTGGGAAAATCCAAAGCCGTTCTGATAGCATCGTAACAGAGGGATCGTGATAGTTACAGCATAGAACTAAATAAATAATGTTACTTTATTCAGCAGGAAAGCCAATAAATTCTTGCTCTGGCCCTAACTGGGTCATCCCTCAGCAGAACAGACACTTTCCTTTGTAACCAAATGATTAATTCACTTAGAGGCGCTGGAACATCAAGAACATCTGTAGGTCAGAGTACGAGAGTGCTGGCAGGGGTATATGCAGACTCAAAAGTAAAGCTAAACTGACGAGGCAGCAACGTGGCTGCATCAGCTTGGCACTGACGAGGTAACACTCTGCTTACCAGTTTGTGCTGCGTTACCTAAGTTACATCTGATTTCAGCCAATAATAGCCTCATCGTTCTTACCTCTTGCCCCTTGTTTCTGTTCATCTGTCTCACACAACTGAACAGTACACTAGACTTCAACTGATACAGTTTGTTGTGTTTTCCCCCCCATTTAGATTCACATCAGTCAAAAACAACTGCACTCAAATACACAGAAAAGCACTGCTGTTAAAAAAAAAAAAAAAAGACACCCAAAACAAACCAAATGAAAAAAAATCCAAGTTAGGTCATACCACATATTTCTCCACTCCCATAGTCAAAGGAAAACTTTCCCATTACAGCAGGGAAAAAAACTGACATACCTGGTGTAGGAGTATTTATTGTTGCTTCTATTATAAAGCAGCTTAACAACAGGCTAGTGGGAGAGAAAGAAAAAAAGCAGAAAGTTAAGTTCTGTGTTTGAATACACTCAGCAAAAATTCAATTTCTCACTGGGTAGTTGTAGAAAAGCAGTTACTTTCATTGACGATTCTATCAGTCTCTCTTCTTCTTTTGGAGATGTGATAATAGGGATGCTACAGACAGGTTCATACACGTCTTTCTTGTCCTGTTTTAAAGAAAGAAGAGAGAGAGGAAATAAACGTGAGAGATAAATGCTAAAGCTAACATCTGCTGCTGCTGTCTTCTCCAACCCCTCCCAGCCATGTTCCCAAATCCTGTGATGCAAAGGAAAAGCTCTGTGTTGCTATGGTAACCACACAGCATTACCTGGATCTGCAACCCAGAGGTTTCTTATCCCCAGAAGGCAGGAGTAATTGAAATATTGGGATGCAGGTGGATGTCCTTCTTAGCTATAGCGTGGACTCTGAGCTCAAGTCATATTTGACTTAAGTGGGTTTATTATTCTATCCTTTTTGGAAGAGAAGGATAGTAAGAGTTTGCACTAGTTTTAATCAACTCAAAACACTGCAGTATACAAGAATATCAGCTGCTACGAACCAAACATTTGGCAAGAACAGCACATCACCAAAACGGACCTCGGCCCCTTGTGATACAAAGGCAACAATTAAGAGTGCGTAGCACAGTCTGTGACTCCAGATTCCTCATGCAGCAAATTAAGGAAAGCTCAATAGCTAATAGGAAAGCCTTAGAACATTTTGGTTTTAGAAGAAAGGTTTCAAATTCCAAACCAGAAGGAAAATTGTCAGTGTGGCTTTGCTCTTCTTTCAGCAGATACAAGTATGTTGAACCTAGTATGTGAGGCATTTATTAATTACCAAGTTTTGTCCTGCAAGAAACATTCATTTCACAATTTTAAGACTAATAATAAGTTATATACATTGCACCTGGGCTAACCTTATTAAAAAGGTTGGCAGAACAAGCTGGTTTCAATCAGCTGAAGGCATAGGGACTTGTAAAGTGAATAAAGCTACTATGGGCTTACGTATTTGCAAAACTGATACAAAGAAAAGTCCTTAAAGCACTCAGTGCTTACCATACAGGTCATTTTTTCCACTAAGATTCAAACTTTGAAAAAAGTTACCATGCTTTCAAAGATTCAAACACATTCTGGCTATAAATATTATCTAATTAGAAGTGACATAATGTGGGGGAAATTTAGATAAATGCCATAAGGTCTTTTAAATCATATGCTCAAGATAATCATATTTATTCAATCAGTTTCCTTTAAATTTCTGACTTTTATTTCATTTCACACAAGAGGAACTCATTCACTATCTACTTCCTAAATAAAATTTAAAAAAAAAAGACACAGAAAAGAACTAGGCCCTCTATTTAAATGACAAATTGTAAATACAGTTTCTACTTTATTCACTCTCCTGGCATCCCTGTGAAGTAGAAAAGTGCTATTGCCATTCTGAGGGGGCAGCTGGACAACCGAATGGAAGCACAAAGGGAAATGATTATCCATCATACCAGACATCTCCAAAATGACAGGAACTCGAACCTACATCTCACATTTTCTAGATTCATATCATTTAACCATTAATCTTCCTCTTCTTACAAAAAAATAGCTCTCTTGATAATGCAACCACCCCACTAATCGCACTAAATGCCTTCAGAGCAGAGGCTCCTGTGGCCTGGAAGGCTGTGCCATCATAGCACATGGGTCTGAAAACATTTCCAGGGTGATCATAAACTAAATTTCATCTCTTAATCAAAGCATCACAGAATCTCAGGTGTGCATACAGAGAGAGGATAACTATCGCTTCGATAAACATACTGGATAAACTCTTAGAACTTACCTGACTGCTGTCTCATTTTCTTTCCAGGCTACCTTGTACACCTAAGACTAGACGCCGTCTCTAAGGCCATAAAATACTCTCTCAAGTTGTCTTAGGCAAATTTTATAAGCCAAACACCCATGAAAAACTTTAGAGGCTACTTCTGTTTCTTACCTGCAGGGCTGCTTGGCACATGTCCACTAAGCCCTGAATGAGATAATATTTGGCTTCTGCCATCAACTCTTTGATCTCCTGTCTGTGTTTTGGAAGTGCAATCGTGTCATCTCGGAGATAGTTTAAAATTGTTCCGAAGTGCTTCCCACAACGGTCTATAAGGATCCAGCCTGAAAAATAACCATCGCATCATTTCAACCACCTCAACATTAGGGAACAAGAAAAAGTTCCTCGCAGAGGTTAAATAAGCCTAATGTTTCCTGAAACTGCACATGACAGTCTTCCCATTTCATTTAGTGAAAGTCTTTACTGATCTTGGGCAGATTGAAGTTGGTTACAGAACAGAAACGGACAGTGGAACTACTCCTTCCATACCTCCTGTGCGTTCTCACTACTCTCCAGCACCCCAAAAGAAATGTGACTGTGCTCTATCAAGTGATCAGTCAGTGGGCTGCCTGACCAAAATTATCATCTGTGCTCTGTCTTTTCTGTATTAGGTTCTGATTAAAGGAACGGACCTTTTTAACTACTATAGGAAGTCTAATTTACATCTATTTAACTGACCCTCCAAGCCATTCAAACCTTAAAAGAAAAAAAAAAGGCCAAAAAAGCAGCTTACTGTTAGGTAGGTTGTTTCTTTTACTTAGAGACTTGTCATATTTCCAGCAAAATTGGGGTGTGCTATATTTGCAGGGGAATAAATGTAGTAACTGCTGCTACAGTGTAATGCTGGGCAATCAGAAACTTATCACTAAGAAAGCCAAGGAAAGACTAGAAGAGCGAATTCACAAATGTTTGCAGCAAGTAGATCTGGGATAAGTTCTGTGGCCTAACAAGAAGGATTTGGCAGTTTTCCAACCACATCTTCTGCTGTTGTTCAGGGTTAGAGAGAGAAATGTTCCCAAGATGCTAAAAGGTAGACTAACCCAGAAAACCAGTCTGGGAAAAGAGCTGTTCTAGTCTCCAAACAGGAGCAAAGCACAGAACAGAGACAGATCAGGAGGGAGCGGAGAGGGCATGCAGCACAGGAAACAGCAGCAGACAGACAGTTCTTGCCATTTTAAAACATCCCTGAAGTCACATTCACTAGGAAACAGGATGTCTGACATAGGCAGAGGGCTTAATGCAGTGCCAACCCCCTTTCCATAATGTGGAAGGCAGGCAAAAAAAGTGCTATTTTGGGATCTAGGTACGGAAAACAACATGAGAATGTAAGCTAAACCACTGCTAGATTCTCCAGCTGTAGCTGTCAGAACATGAACCTTGTTTTCCACTCAGGCTGAGGCTCTTACAAAACCGCTGGACTAAATGGATTTAGTTGTAAGTAACACGCAACAGGACCCAGCCTACTGAAGGGGAGCTTGGTTTAAAGGACGTGCAAAATGCACAAGGAGTTGTTTCAGTTTAAGCAGACACACTGTTGTGCATCAAGTTTAAACTGACGTCATCTGGGCACGCAGAAGAGCTTTCGCATGGGAGTGTTCAGAAACACTAAGAGGTTAAATACTTGCCAACCTCTCCCAGCCTCTTCTCCAGAGTGCCACAACCCTCCTTCCTGAGGTGCCATTCTTCCCCAGACTACTAAGGACTGGAAAATGAAAGCACTTGTAGCCATTACCGATATTGGTGGTCTTATTTGTTCTACGCTCTACAATGTATTACGGATTTTTATAACGCCAATATTCAGTGTCCAGCAGGAGGTGACATATTACTTGACTGATGGCTAAATACTGTCACAGCGTCATAAGCCACAGTGGAACATGCTACTGGGAGAAAAAAAAAAAAAAGAATTTTCAACATAGCAAGCAAGGCTCTTCTGAGTTTTGAAGATGAAGACTGAATGTCTCTCCCCACACACGCATTTTGAATGATGCCACTACATGACACCACATAAATGACAACCCACATACTGTCTGTTCAGTCTTCACAACAACAGCAACAATCTGCACACCAGCTGTGATCGCAGGAAAGAGAACCAGTCCTTCTGCTAGTTAATTTTAGCAACAAAAGAACACCTTTTTATAAAGCACGGAAGATCATTAGCGTCAATGGGACTTGGCTGCCTAATGTTCCAAGCTATTTTTGGAATCTATCTTTCCCTACATCCTTAACTGAGCGCAGTCTTAAGATATTTAAGAAACCACCACCAAAACCCAGTTGTTTTACAAAATTCTCAACAACAACAGATATTCCCTTACCCTCCTTGTCTGTGAGCACTTCCATTCTGCCGCTGAACATGGCCTTCAGCATGGTGTCGTGCCTGGTCAGCACTTGTACTGTAGTGTAATATAAAGAGCCCCCAACATTCAGTCGCACATACTTGTTACCAAGGCTGCCCCCCTTGAAGCTGCAAGTTTTGGGCTTGGGCCCCGCGGCTGGACAAAGGGTGGTGGTTAGACACGTGTCCCCCGACATCTCCTTCTGTAGGTAGATGACAACCCTGCAGAGCGTGGGCTTGATGGATTCCGCCGTGATTGGGGAAGAGTCAGGAGTCACCAGGTGAGGACGCCAAGGCAAAAGCAGTCATACCCACTGGGCCCTTGAAACAGAAATGCATAAGATCAGTACAAAAGCCTGGAATTTCCATTTGCAACAAAATAAAGAAGAGCCGCTTCCAGTAGATTCCTCAGGACACATCTGTGCCCATTCTGACAAAACAAGATGTAGCTGTTTTTCAGACAACGTACGTGGCAGTGTAACGGCTGCTCATCACCATGCAGTTGCATTACTGTTAGCAGGGAGACACACTAAACTTTCCTGGACTTCCTGTCATTTTGTCTCCAGCCAACACCACAAACACCACACAATACCACAGTCCAAGTTTAATCGCTAGCTGGAATTCCGTTTCCTCTCAACCTCCCCAAAGAATGCAGCTCTCTGTTTGTGCAGAGCTGGAACGCGGTGGTGGAGCTTCCGCACCTCCTCCAGCTGGGCTGGGTATCTGAACTGGGGGGTCGTGGTGGTTGATTTGGTTTTTAACTGGAGACATTTACAAATGCCTCCTCACTGAACTGCTGCACCATAGCATTCTATTTCCTGGCAACTCCTTTCATTCAAAACTCTCCTTCCTCCATCCTGGAATCCTGAGCAGTCAATGTAGTTTTAATTAAAAAGAGTAAATTTAACACCACTCCCCTGCCACGTACATCCAGTCTTGAAATATTTGTCTCAATTAAAAAGCCAGCCAGACATTCACGGCTCCGTTCTCTCTTCCGTCTCACTGTGCTTGTCCTTCCATCCACAGTAAGTTCAAAATGGAAACAAAGAAAGAAGAGAAAGAAATTCTAATGTGCCAGATAAGTTCTTTAACTGGAAAAGTACAAATACAACTTTCTTACCTACTCTTCTTCTAATAAACATTGTTCTCAAAAACATTTTGCTGCTGGGTTTTTTTGTTGTTGTTTTTTAAAAACTCTTCCAGACTACAGATATCTCCTCCCCTCTCTGTTGTGTGCCTGTAGCACATCAGTAACCTTTTATAAATAAATATAATAACCTGCTAATTATATTGCTATTCTTTCAACATCCCTTTTCCTTCTCACCCCACCTCAGCTTTCAACATAGGAAAAACCCCACAATCATCTATCTGTACAGCAAATTGCTTGGCAGCTACAGCTGGTATCTTAAAATTGCCAGAGATTTGAAGAACTGCTGAACTTGGAACACCACCTAAAACACAGCACTGTTCTGCAATGCCTAACCATAGTTAAGCAAACACTACCAACAATGTCTCTTAAGTAACAAGCAGATCATCAAGGCACAAACCAATTCTAAGAATTTTAGTGCCAAAAGAGCTCAGTTTGTCTATAAATGCTTGAACTGGAACACCCACTGGCCACCATCACTCTTTACTTCCAGCTCATCACCATAAACCGCGACAGCGAGCTTCAGCCTGCAGCTGGGCAAGATATTTTAGCTGGCTGCACCGCGGGAATTGAGCGGTCCACGGGCAAACCTGCCAACGGGCAAACCTGCCAACGGGCACTGGCGGCTACAAATGGAATTGGCCAAAAGTCATTCCCAACTGGTAAGCAAGGAGCAGCCAACCCAAAGATTGTGTGTTCCAGCTGTGGCATCACGTGTACTCGAGCGAAGCGGCTGAGGGTTATAGAGAAAGCCATCAGAAATGGTCCAAGCACTGCGAGTCAAAGTTCCCCCTAGCTAGTCCAAGGTGTTCTCTGGAACCCATTACGAACCACTAAACCAAGACCAGAAGCAGCTGCACCTCATCTACGGACAAGACCTTTGGTGACAAGGGAAATACACCTCAGGCCCCCACATTTGTCATCGCTGTCCGGCCCCGCTCCAGCCCCTCGGCAGCCCCTTCTTCACAGAGAAGGCGGCCGGGCCGGCTGTAAGGGGCAGCCCGGGTGCAGAGGGAGCTCACCGGGGCCAGCAGCGACCTGCCTGAACAGCCCCAGCGCGGGGGAGCCTTCGCTCAGTTCTCCCGCTTCAGGAGGGAATTTATTTCTCTGACGAAGCCGAACAAAGCAACATACGAGCAGAACCCCCTATGCAGCCAGCCCTACCGCTCCAACGCCCTCGGTAGCTCACACACCGGGAGGCTCGTGCTGGGAACGGCAACGCAGCCCGGAATTAGCGCCGTTAACACGAGGGGAAGCTCGCCACGTCCCGTCCTCGCCGCCTTGCGCGGGAGCGGGCGGGCTGAGGGACGGGCACACAGCTCGGACACCGCGCCGGGACACGGGCCCCGCCGGCAGCCTCGGGAAAAGGGAGAGCCTGAACAGCGCCTCCCCAGCCGCGACCCCCAGCCCCTTACTGGTTTACACCCAAGGGCCCGCGGGGGAGGGGGCTCCGGTCCCTTCGCGGCGGGGTTCATCCGGCCTCCGGAGCGGCAAACGCAGGCTGGACTGGGCTGGCCCGGCCCGGCCCAGCCCACGCCCGCTGCCCCGGCGGGCCCTCAGCAGCCTGCGCGCCCACGCACCGTCGCGTCGCGTCGCGTCGCGTCCCGTCCCGTCCCGGCGCTCACCCGCCCCGCAGCCCCCGCCGGGCTCATCCCCCCGCCGAGCCGGGAACCGGCAACCCGGAAGCGCTTCCGGGCGCGGCTCCCAGCGCGCCCCGCGGCGCGGGACTACGACTCCCAGCGTGCCCCGCGCGGGGCCGTCGCCGTGGCAGCCGCGGCCCGGTGGCGGGAGGCCCCGCGGAGGTTCCGCGCCGGTTCCGCGCCGGCGGACGGCGATGGCGCAGGCGGCGCTGGGCGCGGCCGGCCTGCACCTGGACGAGCTGGGCAAGCTGCGGGTGCTGCAGCCCGAGGTGGCGCAGCTGACGGCGCAGCTCCGCGAGGAGTGCGGGGCCTTCCTCGACAGTAAGGCCGCGGCGGGCGGGAGCGGGAACCGGCGGGGTCTCCCAGATGGTCACGGTCACAGTGAACTCCAACACCATCGCGCGTGGCGGGAGCATTACCCTTCGTTAGGGCTGTTTTGAATATTACTTGATTTTTTTTTATTTTTTTTTTTTTTTCAGAAATAGTAGAATTTCAAAAAATAGTCGGTAGCTTAATCGAGCTGGTTGATCAGCTGGCGAAGGCTGCTGAAAGCGAGAAGATGAAGGTACTGTGCGATTAATTCCCACTCCGCCCGGCGCGATGTGTGAGAGCCCCCCCAGCCCCCCCGGGCACGGCCGCGGTCATTAACGCGGCTGCGGTATCAACGCGTGGCCCTTTCTAATTGCTGTTAACGTCCAGAGGACTTTTACAGGCACAGACTGAAGGTCGCATCGCTCCGGCGTTTCACAGCCCTACTGCTCCTGCTTCTCTATATAGTTACACACAAATAGACCCTGTACTTTTTAATCACTCCTGCTAGCAGGACGTTGTAGTTGGGGCAGGAGAGGCTCTGGGAGGGGGAGAAGGAGGAGGAGGAGGAGGAGGAGGAGGAGGAGGGCTTTCTAAAGACCAGATCAGTGAATAGCTCTATAAATACCTTGGTACTTTTCTTTCTGTATTTCTGCACGTCACCAAGTGATATGGGTTTTTTTCCTGTGTTGCTGTGGAAACAGAAATGAATGTTTAGCAGAATTGTAGGTCATTTCTTTTTTCCTTATTTGTTCTGGGGAAGGAATTATAACCAGAGCTTGCCTACCTGCAGGACCAGTGATCAGTTTGCATTTCCAGAGGAGCCGGTGACTTTTGCTGTGAGTCTGAAGGGACTCTCAGACACCTTCATCTGCCCAAGCCCTACAGCGACTGTTTGCCCGTTCCACCAACCCCTCAGTGTTAAGGTGTCACCCTCCTTTGCTGTTAGTGTGGCTGAAACACTTCAAAATGAACCTGGTAGTAGTGAAAAGGGTTAGAAAACTTTTAAATTCCCACTACAGCCACATCCACTGACCGTCCTCTTTTGACAGGCCATCGGAGCACGAAATTTGCTGAAGTCTATAGCAAAGCAAAGGGAAGCTCAGGAACAGCAACTCCAGGCTTTAATAGCTGAGAAGAAGGTGCAGCTGGAAAGGTGAGTTTTCTGTTAAGCACTTTTGGGGCGTTGTGCAGGCTGAACTCAGCCCGGACGGCTTCGTGGCTGAAGAGGCGGCGGGAGCGAACGTGGCCGTGCCTGGCCCGGGGCAGAGCGCGGCCGCTGCTCCACGCACCCAGCCTGACTCTGCTCCACCACACCCCCGCGAGCCCCCCACCGAACCGCCCGGCGCCGGCTGGGGCCGCTGGTAACCCTCTTGTTTTTCTTTCAGATACCGAATAGAGTACGAGACTCTGTGTAAAATTGAAGCGGACCAGAACGAATTCATCGACCAATTCATTTTTCAGAAATAGAGGATTTTAAGATAAAAATGAACTTGGAAACTTGACCATTCCGGAATCTTGATAATTTAAAAAATATGCAACTTTTCACTGTGTATGAATGAAGAGATGGTTTGTACAAATGAAAGTGTCTTATAATTCAGTGTGAATGACACTAAAATGGCAATAAGGAGGGCTTCTAACAGATGTAAAGACTGTTCTGTCCTTTGATTTTATAAAAGTTTTGTACAGTCAGTAGTACTAATTCAAATTATGGTTGAATTAACACTACTGTCGCTATGTTCTGTCTCTCACTTTTTGAATTGTACAGCTCTTTCAAAGAAATCAGGAAATAAATTATTGTTTTCAGACTTTCTGGATATACCAGAACGAGTTGTTTCTGCTATGTTATTTCTGAGCTTCAGTGTTTACAACTCCCTGGACAGCCATAATGGTATTTTCCACATCTGTGAAGACACAACACGCAAGCAGCAGTAACTTTTATCTATATTGACCTGGTCACTTTCTAGGATAAGGAAGGAAAAACCACCAGAAATTTATGATTAACAGAACGGATCCATTAGACACCCAAAAAAGCTGAAAATAACAGCACAACTGAGAACTTTAACCTCTGCCTGAGGTATGTCCATAGAGGTATTAATAGTAGAGGTAAATTCCTCCCTGGGCATTATTAGTGATAGAACTGCAGAGGGAGGAGGGGAACCCTTCTGAGCCTGCAGTGACCCCGGAGCCTGGATGTGCTCTAAATACAGATGTGACAGTCAAGACCTGAAGCCTGGGATCTAAAATCAAGCCTTGTGTTGAAGGGCAAATGGATGGCTCTTCCCTGGGCCTTTAGGCAGCCGCCTCGGGCAGCGTTGGCCTCTCAGAGCCTGGGGGAGGGTGAAGTTGTACCCCAGTGAAGTGCTGAAAGACCCCGGCCGTGACCAAAGAGCCTCAGGGACCTGCCATCTTACACAGGGCTCCGAGGTGGGTTCTTGGAAACCAGATTGTGAACTTAAAAACACCCCCCCACCCCCCCCAGAATTTCTATCAGCAGTAGGTTTTATTTACCGTAACTTACGCATTAATTTACTGTGTGGACTATCAACGACCTCGTGGTCATTTAAAGTTTGTTCTAGTCATTCCCATAAGAGTAAATGCAGTTTAATGTGTTACTCATTTCCATACTAGAAGTGATTTCATGGAAGGGAGAAGTTTACAGGAATTGTAAACAAGGATTTGAAGTACTTCAGAGTCCCCCAGGAAGTATACCTCCTTCTCAGCTTTAAGCGTTGGTAAATCCAGATTTTGGCATATTTCACTGATCAGACATTTACAATTAAAATAGAAGCAGAGCAAAGGAAGGTGCAATTTTAAAGAAAAGGGCAAGGAAGTTAAGAATTATTATATGATTTGAAATGCTTCAGAAGCATAGCTTTGCAAATCTTTATATAATCGGTTATGGATTTTGCAGAAAAAGCTCTTGGAAGACAGATTTCTTAGTTAAGTGGTCTCCTAACATCTTGGAAAACGGGCACTTGGAAGAAAAGTATCCGCTGTAGTTTCCCCCCGCCCCCATCACCCCGTTACACATCAAATGTTAAAAGTTCTTTTTCCTGTTACAAGGCGCTGCACGACGGGACAGAGGGAGAGGAGCGAGGTCCCTTCACCGCCGCGTGCCCAGAAACCACCCGGAATTGCCAGTACAGGCGTCTGCCAAAGCTTTTTCCGACTGAAGGAGAGCCGTGATCTCACAGCACATCAAATTCTGGCAGGAGCCAGATGCTCCCGCAGCGGCTGCTGCAGCCAGCAGCGAGCCAGAGGTCTGTCCCAAGGGCGACGTCAGCACGGGGTCCGAATCAAAACCAGCATCAGCGTTGCGCGTGCACACACCTCCCCGAGCGGCTTACTTCCTTTTCCTTTTCTCCACGTGGTTGTAGTGGGGGTTGTAGAGCATGGTGACCAGAATCAGAAGTGGTATCAGCAAGTACGGCAGGTATATGGACAGCAGGGTCAGGCGCTCGCGTTGTGTCTGAGGCCCCAGGTGCTCCGACTCGAAGTCGTGGAACAGGATATGCGCGAGGATGGCAAACAGAGTTGTGGCTGCGTGGGTGGAGTAGATAATTGCAGGAGTTCTTATCCATCTGCAGCCACCTGTATAGAAGCAAAAAGGAAACCACGTGAGTATTCTGAAACAAGCAGAATTCAATGGCTTTTAAATTAACAGAATGTTAACCGCCACATCTCTGCCAGGATAAGCCATAAACCATATTAAACAGGTAGTAGAAAAAAACCTAAATACCAGTACCAACCCAGGAAAATTATCTATCTGTATGGATATTCTGAACGATGGTGCAATCGTGAGTTTTAAAGTAACAAGAAGAGTACACAGAGCTTTATCTAGCGTGGAAGCGCACCAGATGTCGAATGTTGATGCTGGTTACACAGAAGTGGCTGCAGTTGACAAGGGGCCTGCGGTCCCGCGTTTTGTGTCTGACCCGTCCTACTCTGGGCTGCTCTCTCAGATAAAATTTGCCCTGAAAAGGGCACAGCATTCCCCACAGTACATCCCTGTCATTGCTTAAGGCTGATAAATAAGCCCTCTCTGCTGTACAAAAAGCAGGTGTTATGCAGAAGTGCTGCACAGGACGTATTCTTACACGTGTTTTATACCAACCTTTCAGGAAGGCGTACACTGCAACGAGGAAGAAAGGCATTTGCAGGAAGGCTTCACAGTACATGAACGCCTTAAACCACGCCGGGGGCTGGAGCATCAGGGGGTCTCTAAAGGTGGCTGCGTACCACTGTAACAACTCTGCCAGCTTAAAAAAAAAAACAAAAACAAAAACAAACCAACAGATGAACATCAACCGCACCAGGGCAAAAACTGTGACCCTCGCCCGGCGGTCAGATGAAGCCATCACTGCAGTGGGAAAACCAAGTGGAAAATCATCTTGGCACACAAGGCTTCATACTGCAATTTAGTTTCAAGAGGACATTTCTAAAGTCTTGACAGCAATGAGCCCTTTCCATTCGACATGTCTTAAATTCGCACTACAGGTAACTTTAGGATTGCCACAGCATTAGGTACAGTTGCTTTCCAAAAACTATTCCTGAAACATCACTTCCTACAGAAACCACCCAAACCACCAAAAATCTGCACCTTGCCATTCCTAGATAGCATTTTGCTCTTTCGGGCCCTCCTGTTGCCAGCCGAGAGGGGCCGGGGGGGTCTGGGGCCTCACGGGTCGACGGCTTCAACAGCTCCATTTAAGAATTTTGGCTTGGCAAATTGTAATTAGTTTCCACGACAGAAATGTAAATTCCAGCATGGCTTTAAGTTGGACTTTGAACGGAGAGATATGTATTGAGATTTGCTGGTTAACTATTAATTAAAAATGGTTTCTATAATGGAGTAATTCTATAGGCAATTCTAATGCCAAAAATCAAACTAATTGTAAAGCTCGTAGAGGAAGTTCTGGCCAATCTCATCCTGATGGGGAGAGTTGAACTGATTATCTTCTATCCAACTGTTACTTTAATTGACTTTATTATGTTCATTGTCTTCTCTAATTTTAGTCAAACCCCGCGGAACCAGAGATCTCCACCAGTAGCTCTGGCTGCTGGGATGCCTCCTTCCGCAGCGGGAGCAAACCCCTTGCAGGTTTTTGGCAGGAGTCTGGGGCAGGGACCTCCCGGGGGTCCCTCGGGGTGTCGGTGGGGGCCGCGGGCCCGTTCCTGCCGAGGGGGTTGGATCCAGCCCTTCGCTTTACCCAAAAAACACGGCGGGAGCGCGGGGCCAGCGCTGGCCCCACCGCCAACTCCTCGGGGCCTTTTCTCCAGCGCACCCGCGGGCACAGAAACAGGGCAGCCCGCCAGCAGCTCAGCCAGTTACAAATTTAACCAGGAAAAAAAAAAAAAAAAAAAAAAAAATCAGTTACAGCTGGTAAAGGTGCTGCTAAGCAATCACATTTACTCTCCTTCCCAAATGAATGACCTGACTGAAAATAAAGTCACCGCGCAGGTAGCAAGCGTTGAATTATTTTAAACCACTGTTTCGTTCTAGGAAATCCGCGCTTCTTCCTCCCGCCTTACGCCCCGACCCACCCAGCAGATGTTGTCCCAGAGGCCCCCCCCGCGCCGCTCGGCACCCACCCGCTCCTCTCCCCCACGCTCGCAGGCAGCGAGCCCCGGCCCCGCTCCCCGGCCCCGCTCCCGCCCCCGGTGCCCACTCACGGCCCGCGGGCGGAGGCCGGCGGGCAGCAGCGCCGGCAGATCCACCAGCAGCGTGAGGGGGATGTGCGAGAGGAAGAAGAGGCCGAAGAGCCGCTCCCGCCACCGCGGGGCCGCCGCCATCGCCGCCGGGGCCACGCCCGCCGCCGCCGGGGCCACGCCCGCCGCCGCCGGGGCCACGCCCACCGCCGCCGGGGCCACGCCCGCCGCCACGGCTGCGGGGGGGGCAGAGGAGGAGGAGGAGGAGGAGGAGGAAGGGCGCGGCCGCGGGGCCCGTTCAGCCGATTTTACGAATTCCTCCCGCCTCTGGGGCAATTCGGGCGGGCGCGGAGCAGCGGAGGCCGCGCAGCGAGGGCCTCCCCCTCCGCGCCCAGCGCCCCCCCGGGGCCGCCCTGGGACCGAGGCGCCTTCCTCCGCCGAGTCCGCCCTGCCCTCCGGAGCGCCAGCGGGCACCCCGGCGAGTTAGAGCAGGCTCGGAGAACGCAGCGGGTCGGATTCCATCCTTTATTGAGCACAGAAGCTGTCCAAGGGGTACACGCAGATTATAGATCAATCCTCTGCTTGGGCTCCAGTTCCCCCCCCCCCCCCCCCCCCCCATTTATCAATGTCACAAACAGTTTTAAAGTAACCGTACCTGAGCAGGATTACAGAAGTACAGTGAACAGAATTTTCTATCAAGTTACACTTGACAGAAGAATTTTAAAAAGTTACAAAGAACAAACAGTTCAAGGATCTCGCGATACTCCGTTACTAAAACAAATAAAGGGTAAAAAAGATGATTAGAAAAATTGCTACCCAGTAAATATTAAAACCATCAGTTCAATCCGGTGAGCATTCACACACTCCCAGCAGGCCAAACAGTAAAGTCCCAAATGCACCACTAATAAATTGGCTGAAGGAGAAAAGCACTTCATCACTTTCATAAATTGATGTGAATCAGTCAATGCTATTCCACCATACATCAGGAAATGGATTTTAGCAACTTACTTTTCCATAGCAGATCTCGTTTAGCTCCTTTGCATCACCTTCCAGATGTACACACAGAGAATAGGCCTTCTAATATTTGGATGTTCCTTTGACAATTTGTGAGTAATTTTGAAGTCATTCTTTGCACTCACTACTTCTGTACGCTTGTCAAGGCACAATTAATAAAAGGAGATGCAGAAGCTGTGTTTAGAGAGCTTAAAACTTACGATTACAATCTGCAATTCACTCGACATTGATATCAGCAAAGCTTAAAACCAATTAAAATGAAAACTGCAAGCCAGATTTTAACCTCATTGGCAAAGAAAGAAGCTCTCCTGATGACCTCACGCTCCGATCACTCCGAGTGTATACACGTGTGCGTTCACGTTAGAAACGGAACTGTCCTTGTCGCAGAGAGCTCTTCAGAGGCCTTTCACTGTAATTAATTTACAACAGACATGTCAAATGCAGTTGAGGCTACAGAAAACATTACCATGGTGGGGTTTTATATATATTTGCACACACAATTTCAGTTACACATCCGGGCCAACTGCAGTTACTCATTCTGCACAGCGCCTTGCCCACATTTGTATGAAGACACCCTGAAAGGTAAATGTCCAAAAAACATTTTATTCTTCTTATGTTTAAGAATGAGATTAACCCATGAACCTCTAGCGATCAGCTCCAAAAAACACACGATGCACACAGTGGTCTTTGCCAGTTGTGTCATTACGTGCTCATACCCTGACAAAACTGTGTGTCAGAACGAGAAGACCCAACAAGAAAACTGCCCACTGGTACCGCAGCCTTACGCTGAAGGAGAATCTACTGAGCAGACCACGTAAAAATGGCAGCGAGGTAATGGCAACTAGTTCAGCAACAGACAACCATGAAGCAATAATGACACCACTGTCACCAGTTCTAAAAAATGTTCAAATTTAGCTCATAATAGCATGGGAACTTTTAAGAGGTTGAAGAAGAGGCATATACATGAGTCACAAACAGCACCTGTGCCAGCCCTGGGACCAGAGCACATGCTAAGAAGGCTTATCAGTTTATTTCTTGCGAGGTCCTGAGGCTTGAACTGTAAAGTTCAATTTGTTTGAGCTTTAAAAAGGTCATACCCATAAAACATGAACATTTTCAGTCCCATTCTGCAACACCACTGCATGTTGGATTCTTTGCATTAGGACTAGGAAACAACGAAAGCGTTTGTGCTGAAAAAAATAACACAAACTTTGCAAATTAAACAAAATCCATCCTTGACTGGGTGTCTTTCAACCTCCCGGATAAAGCACAAGTCAATCGCTTCTTTTGATTTAATCAGCAAGTTTTGCCTTTATCCAGGATCAAGCTTAAAGAGTAAATTAATATTTTGTTGAAGAAGTCATATATACATGCATATATATGCATACATATATGTATATGTGTGTATGTATGCATGCGTGTTTAAAAATCAAAACCATGCCTAAACCAAGATGTTATAAAGTCTTTTTACTTGTATTCTTTTAGACAGTACTTCATCAAGATTGTAACAACTTATTCTCAAATAAAAGGTGGGAGATCAGACAGGAAATAAAGATAACACCACTTCTTTTTCAAATGTCACATTTAATGTTTTCACCACTGTACTTCAAATCTACATTTTACAAAGTGACCAGCAAGTGTGCCACATTAACTGACCAACCTCTGAGATTTTACCTTTCATACCAGTGTCTTCTTGGGCTCTTTTAATTAAACACGTTTCTCATTCAAGTGAATTGAAATGCTTCCGTTGGTTTTATTCTCAGGAGCCTCATAAAAAACAAAGATATTGCACCATCTTTGTTCAGTTATTCAATGTTTGTCTCTTTCACAGCAAATAATTACTTCATTGAAGTTAAAACTTCCAAACATAACTTACTAATAGTCTCCAATTTCAGCTCAGATCACTCTTGTTGAAAATACTCTGCTAAATACAGATAACTTACAATAACTTTAACAGTTAATTGTCCATAACAAACACCACGGTTTTTCTCCAGACCAATGCTCAAATTTTAAGATCACCCTTTAGTATTTCTTTGTACAGGTGAAAAACAGTCTTCAATTTTCTAGTCTTGTTTTAAATATAAAAGTTGGAAGGGACATTCAAGTTTCAAGTCTCCACACTGAACTTAAAAAAAAAAAAAAAAAAAAATCATGTGGAGGTAAACAAACCAAGTTGTATACTCCAGGAGGTAGAGGCCTTCAATTTGTGTTCATATATACATATGCACAGAATTCAGTGTTCCAACAGAAAAAGAATTAGCCAAAAAGTAATAAAAGTTATTTACTACTGTGACATTTCAAGACTTCCACAGCTTTGCCTAAAGACACGAACACAACATAACTCCCTATGTGCTTTTTTTTTTTTTCCTTTTCTTTTTTTTTTTTTTTTTTTTTCTCTCAACTGTCCAGTGCAGGAAAAAGTTCTCACAAAATTTCACAGACCTAAAATGTGCAAGCTAGTTTCTCTCTATACAGCAATGATGTCAGGGATCTCTGAAATTAGCCCATAAATGGAATTATTTACACACATAGAAGATGCATGCTGGGGGGTTTTATGTAAGAAAGAGCAGAAAAACTTCTAATAAAAATAGATTAAATATATATATATATTTATACTGGGTAAGGAAACAGAAGTTTAGTTTCTCCTAGTCACAAACTCATTCTCTCTACTCACAACATTTGATTTTAGAACAGCACACATCACCATCACAGCTCTAGTGAGAAGCTATTTATAGGATTTGATCATCAGGTGACATGACCACTTACTGTGGCCACTGTCATCTGACGTGACTTCATGATTGGTCGCAGTCAAGTTTTCTGTATTCCTTAGTTTTAGAAAACCCAAAATCTTCAGGAATGGCTCAATATCAAAATGTATGTCTATCTTTTTGTACAATCTCACTTCAATAAAAAAAAAAAAAAAAAGAAAGAAAAAAAAAAAAAAAGAAAAAACCTCCCCAAATTTGGTTCAATTCTGTTTGTTCTGAGCTGAGCCATCACAGCTGCACTAGAATTCATAAAACACGTGCAACTCTGGGTAAAATATTTTCTTCTAAAAGCACAACCACTTTACAAGATTAAAAGTCTAGTACATTTCTAAATATTATTCATATTGTACAAGTAGTGGTTGTTAATTTAAAACTTCATTAGTAAAATTACAGTACAAGCATGATTAACCTCCAGAATTGCAAATCCCAGACTCCAGTGGAAAGCTACATTACATCTTCAGTAGTATATTATCTTCCACTTTATTCCCAAACCAGTGGAGATGGCGGCATCTCAGATGGTTGAGCGACTGTGGAACTAGAATGCAGGTGATACAGAAAATCAGTGTTCATTTGCAATAGCTAATAGACAAGAAAGTTAATGATTGACCAGTGAGCAAGCATTTCAAGAAAAACAAAAACAAACCACCAAAACCAAACCAAAACAGCCCAAGGCCAACAGTTAACAAGACCGACAACAAATATTTCACTATACTTTATCTACTTATTCTCTTAATGATTTTTCATCTATCAGTCATTCATTTTAAGATTTTTATAGTGCAATTCTACAATCACGTCAACATTTCCATGCTAATTTTTCAGTCTGGCTTCCGTACTTTTACATAAGAATATTACTTGAAACTTTTGTACATTTTATAATTTTATAAAATGTAACCATATAAGGTTTGGTTTGTCCTTTTTTTTTTTTTTTTCAGATGTTATCTATGGGCCTTTTCTACTCTCAGAAACTTAAAACAGAAAATGTTTTGGATGTGTGAATTCTGTACTACTAATAAATGTGAATTAATATCAGATGTGATTACATACAGTTACCTAATAAAGCTCTTAAAAGCAGCAGACTGAGGGTTGATGCAGAGAGGCACTCTGTTTCCTTTCTGCTGTTCCAAAATGAACTGATGAATTATTTCTGTACATAGGAGAAAAACAAAAAGCACCATACCATTAACACTTTTTGCTTCAGTAAATGCAATGTAGACTGGAGAAAAATAAAGCTTCCTATACCGAAAGTACCTTTTAGTAAGGGTAAAAGAACTCCAGCTTCCCTAACTCAAATCTCAAGCCATCCACAAAGCACAAAACTGCCACTTGAGAGGATCAAAACAAAAAAAGTAAATTTTCATAAGGAAAGAGGAACTTTACGTGCAGTTGCCAGACAAATCATCTTCTCACACACATGCATGC